TATATTCATTTGTTAACATGTTTGGTCTTCATTTTTTAAAATTTATTTTTCTTTAAACATATTTTCAATCATATATTTATGGAGTTCACACTTTTGCTCTTGAATTAGTGTGGAGAAATAGAGAGGCATGACTGTAGCGTGTAAAAATGGAGAAAGAGTAAATAAGGCTCTATGAAATAATTCTCCATGCCGCGTAAATTGGAGAAAAGCAATAAAGTCACTGTATCAAACACGTAAGATAAACGACGTCGTTGCTTTCTCTCAATTAAAAAAAAAAAAGCTACAGTGAGACAAAATGGAAGAATCTACTGTTCTTTCTATAATAGTGAAATATTGCCATTTTTATATAGTAGTGAAAACCACCCAATCAAAAGCTTTCACGCCACCCAATCACCACCCCCGTGTCAAAAGCCCATGTCCAAGGAGCATTATTGAAATCAAATAAGGACTTCCTTTCTGCAGATATAGGGTGGAGAGATAGTCCAACGGAGATTTGTTCTACTTAGAATAAAGTATTTCAAGTTGTAACAAAAAGTGAAGAGCAAAAAAAGGAAAATATTCTATTGTAAAAGGAAGAACAGATAAGAATGCGTAGGAAGGTTCATTGCGATAAGAGTAAGAAAAGGCAAAAGAATTCATTGCATCCTGAAAGATGAGTACGTGGTTGGTGTGTTCTGAATCTAACTAGTTGAAAGAATTGAGGGTACGTTACATCATACAATCCATCTTTTGCTTATATTCTTAAAACGATTTGTCGAAATTATGCAATATAAATTCACAAGAACCAACTTCATTTGCACACACCAAATCCTACAAGTGAAACAATGACCCAAAAGTTGGAGGCAACAGCTGAACTAAAACATGCATCAGCTGATAAGTTTTACGGTTTTTTTAAAAACAATATGAATGATCTCATTAATGTGTTTCCTGCAAGTTTCAAAACTGTTCAACTACTTGAAGGAGAAGAAGGTTCTGTTGGTTGTGTCAAGCTCTGGAATTATGTTATTGGTAAGAATATTTTAAGTAAAATTGTATGAATATGTATGTTCTCTCTCACTGTTGATTGTATTTCCAAATGTGTTGTAGAGGGGATTCCGATGATAGTAAAGGCGAAAGTTGAAGCGATAGATGATGATAAAAGATCTCTAACTTTCGTAGCCATGGACGGAGATATCATGCAAATGTACAAAAGTTTCAAGGCAATACTTAATGTGAATGATGGCTTTGCCAACTGGTTAGTGGAGTATGAGAAAGCTCTTGAGGCCAGCCCAAGTCCAGATATCTATGCTG